GAAAAATGATCTTCGTAAAATTACATTTATGCGTCTACCTTTCATCTTTGAAGAATAGCAAAGTATTAAGTTTTAGCACTTATTATTTTAGTTATTTAAAATCAAAAATTAAACTATTTATAAACGAATAAAATAAATATATTAAAGGCACTTTCTGCAATACATATGTTTGAATATTAGTAAACAATTGGAACAAGTCCTCCAATATTATTCCTTTACAAAACCATACCCCTTTTTAACTACTCCCCTGATGACACCTTTGTTTTCACTTTTCGCAATCAAATTTTGCTGAGCCACTTGAGAATGAATGATGGGAGGACATAACGAACCGAGAGCTATATCTTGTTAGGTGGTCCCTGAGTCAATCGCCGTCATTCGGTTTAGTCATTTACTCCGCTCAAATAAATAAGAGCTTTGAGCGCCACATGTCGTCGATTCCTTGTAATCCCGCAATGGGATTGGGATGGGGTATTATACATTCCCAGGGACCGCAGAAGATCCTGCTTAGGTGCTACAGTAGGGTCCCTGGAATGGGGAGCCTCTTATAATGTCTTATTTATATCGGATTATGGCCATCACACCATTGGCTGTTTGTTGTTGTTGTTGTTGTGTGGCCACCATCAGAGGGCTCACATCACACAAAGCCAGCGGGCGCATTAAAATGTCAAGGAACGGGGAATGAAATAATAAAAAATAAAACAGACAGCGGACAACGGCGGTGAACAAGTGAAAACGCAGCAATAACAAACAAAAGAGTTGTCAATACCATGGAAGATGGTGCGGAGTCCGCAGTCACTAACTAACTTGATACCGAGGTGTTTCCACTTTTATCTGTGGTTTTTTCCCTGGTAATTCAATTAAGTTCCCACCGGGAGAAGGAGGAGGAGGCAGTCTTCCATGGACCTCCATGCCCGTGAGGTGTCTGCCTATAAAATTGATCGCTCTCTTAGGCCCGGCTAACTTTATTTTCGGGTCTAACAAATTTCCCAAACTGATTTGTGCCCGGTGATAAATTCAGCAACCTAATTGACAGCCCAGTCCCCTGTCTCCAGAGTTCTGGGCTCAAGGGTTCTCCGGTTTCGTTTTCCACTTCTAGGTGTCAATTAATGCACTGACTCGAGGAGATTGAGCCAGGCCGATAAGGCGGAAAAGTCGGGGCAGAAAAATAGCCTCAGGCGATTAAATTGTTAAGGGCACACTGGGAGAAATGATCATCATCAAAGAGTAAAAGCCATTTTAAGTGAGAATATTCGAGAGATTTTGCAAATTATTGTTGCTTAAATCGTTACTTTCAAATTGAGAATAGTTATTGAAGATCTTAAAGGTATCATCTTTCTTTTTGAGATTCTGCAAGATATTATTGCTTAAATCATTATGGTTAAAGGAAACCAATACGTTCAAAGTTTTAAATATCTAAAAATAATATAATTAAATTATTTTAATTTTAATACAATATAAATATATTAACAAACTCGCATATATCAATTGTTATAAATATAATTTTAGTAGAAACAACAGAGTGTCAAGATATTATATCTGGTAAATATTAAGTTACTTTATTCAATAATCTCTAATTTTTCCCAGTGCCTTTTTCCAGACAGTTGCCTTTGTTATGGCCAGTTAAGATTTGTTTAGACCTAAGTAAGTTATATTTAAAACACCTTCTTAGGCAAAACAAAAGTGTCAAAATAGCCGATCGATAGTGGCGACGACCATAAAAGCGAACACCCAGTGTGCTCGAAATTGAACTGGACGCGAGTGCTCGTCGTTGGTTCTTAGTCGAGTATCTAAGTATCTAAGTATCTGAGTATATGGGTATCTGAGTAGCGGGGTATCTCCCCCCGATTTTAGTGTCTGCGGAGTGGAAGTAGGCTTGTCAGCCGAGTTTTCCGAGTTTTTTCCCTAAGTAACTACGCGTGTAGTGCAATTAGGCTGCGACATTGTGACACATGCGACTACTGTGCGCCACAGTCAACATCTCATGCAACTATCAAGTGTTGTGCTGAATGGCAGGGATGTGGCTGAAGGGGGGCTAAAATAATAGTGGGTCTTTGAAGAGGGTTGATTGGGGTATGATGTGGAATAGTTGTGTCCCATGAAGTGGTTTCGTACAAGTACTTTTCAGGCAAGTACTCATAAAATTCTTTCTTTCTTTTATTCTAAATATTTATTATTCAATTATTTTCCAGCCAAAAGAAGGGGAAATGATTGACGTTCCTCATGATATAAACATTTATTGAATTAGTGTCTCCAGATTTTGTCCGGATAACGAAGTGGAATATATAAATCACTAGTATTCTACATGTAAATTATTGATTTTAGTTTTCGATTTTTGTGTTTTCATTATGAAGACATTTTAAATTGATTTCCTATTAAAGTGGATTAGGCTTTGGAAATTATTTGGACTTATAAAAGATTTTCTCAAGTTATAATTTTACTGGAGTTAAAAGGAAATTCTTAAAAGGCTGACAAGCTGATAGGTAAACTATTAAGTCAGTTGAGTAACTGTGACTCTAATTGCAGTTGCAGAATTTAGCTTAAATAAAGTACAATTTTAACTCCTGGAAAGTGCCCAATTCACGTCTTTCCATTTATTTCCTGAAAGCCTTTCCTGACTGTGATCAAATCGCGGTTTATGGAAAACGGTGAAGTGGCAATACGATGTCTATGGCTATGAGCCAAAAGGCGTTGCGATGTCGGCATATCAAAAACCACTTCCAAAGCTGACAATCTAGACAATGTACAATTACGAGAGACAAGTTTTGTTTTGTCTGCTTTTTCTATATATTTTTTGGGCTTGGCTCACTTGACAACTTTTGTGTAGTCTTAGGTGGTTTTCGAGTTATGTTACTGCGGTAATGCTGTCATCATCATCATCTATGAGTGTTTCTGTCAACGGCCATTTTAAGCGTGTCCTCGATTCGATTCGATTCCAAATTGATTTGCAACGTTTTAATTGAACACCTCAGCAGTTGTGAGCCGGTCAACAACTCTATTTCTGGGTTACTGGGTGGTCCCATCCATCTCACAAGGCCAAGTGCGAACGTGTCCCGGACAGAGGAATGTCGATGTCCTGGATCCTTTTCCCCCGGGCAGCTCATTAAAATTGCATGCTCGGTAGGAGGAGACTGCCCCTGTGGCAGTAAATGGCTCACTTTTGGCAGGCGACTTTCCAGCACGTCCTGCCACTACAATTCACAATGGCAGGACATCCACAGGATACGAGTTGCATGCCACCCTAGTTGCGGAACCGATGCGTTTAATTGTGGCCCAAAAAAAAGGGACACAAAACCCCATGCAGACACATATCAATCTGGTCGGGATAACTCGACTTCCCGCTGCGACTTTCACAAAATATTTTGGTTGTACGCAGTGCAATTATGGACGAGGTGTGTCGAAATGCCAGGACACCTAGATTCTCGACCTGGGACTGCCTGCGGCGAGGTGTTGCAAAACACGGAGCACAAGTCCTTCGGTTGACCACCCGACCAAGTTGGACAGATAAGACTAAGGTTAAGGTTTGGCCAAAGTCAGCAGGACATGTCGGAGGGGCGCGTCCGGGGTACTTGTCAAGAATAAATCCTGCCAAAAAAGGAATCTCTATGTAGACATCAATTGGCGAATACGTTTGCAGTTTTCAGGCCCGAGAACAAAACAGAATCAAAGCCAAGACAATGAGAGGGCCAAATCAATTGTGCATGGCCATAAGGCCCGAAAGTATGTCATCAAGGTGGAGAAAATGGAAATGGTAATGGAAATGGAAATCGAGCAGCAAATGAGGCAGATGCAGACCCTTGATGCGGGTTCTCCGGGGGAGACCAAGATGACCTCAGGCCGCAATTAAAGACAATCCCATGGTTGATTTGAAGACAAAGATCACAATCTCAAATTGACAGTTCCAAGTAAGAAGCGTGCTAGGAGAAATGGAGTTGCCAAAGGAAAAAAATGGGAAAGAAAAACCCCATTAAAGAAAACCTCATACCTTTTGCAAGACATTTGGCACGTTCCCGAATTTCAAAAGAAGCCACAATGAAAACTAAACTAAGCCAAACTGAAACACAGCCCATAAACATTCGGACCACACCTCAAAATTGAACAATAACCATAGCCTCACCGAAATCGAAACCAAGTCAAGACAAAACAAAACCATAGCAAAACTGACATCAAATTCAATTCGATTCGATTTAATAAATTAACTTATGCGACAGTTTGAATATTTTTGGTGGCGAGACTTCTGCTTACTTAATCGGCAACCTGAAAATTAATAGAGCTGCTTAAAAATGCGCAAATCGGGATCTACATAAAAACTGAGTTATATTCCAATGGTTAATAAATTTTGACAGCTGCTGTTTGATATTTCAACTTATATGGTTTTGGGAATTGAGCCAAATGAATTATGTTCGCAGTATGAGAAAAATCAGAAAGGTGTGGGAGTTAATCAACAAATAAAGAATATGTTTATAGTGATTAAAATCAGAGCAAAATCACTTAGTTTTTATCTGGAGTTGAATAAAAATAAGAAAAAGTTGCTTGAAGTTCGATTAACTACTAAATCCCTTAGAGTAATTATAAGGTAAAGATAAACATAATAGTTAATTTTAATATGTTTTAACTGGCATAAAGAAAAACTGAAACATCGACAGTATTTTGTATTTTTAAGAAATTTAGCTTACTTCACCTTAAAGATTATTTTATCAGACTTAAATTCTTCATAAGCCTAAAAGATAATGAAAAACCAAAGCAAAAATGTCTTTATCAAATACCAAAAAACCCCAAAACCCCCGCGGTAATAAAAAGTATTATAAGATTTCTGTTGAAAATTACTTTCCGTTTATATTTAAGTATTTTTTGTGATAACTTCATATCAATACGAATATTTTAGGCATATCTATATACAGACTATAGGTATAGACGACAATGAGATCGTTGTATCTTTGTGCTTAGTCATTTGCTACAGCGACAATTAAGTTATGCAGTAAGTAATCATGACACTCGCTGGGTTTAACATTACACAATCCATCGATTGATTTATTCAAATAAATTGAAATATAATATTTAAAACAGTCTTTCAATAACCAAAGTGGGTTTGAGGTTTGTGTGATTGAACTATTGTAACATAACATTTGGTTTACTCCATAAACTTTACACACTGAATGGGCTACTACGACTATAAGGTACGATAATATATAGTTAAGGTATAATTACAATTATATGGTATTTATTTAAATGTATAGTTTACAATTGTGTGTGTGTTTTGGAATTGTTTTGTAGGAGGCTTGTGCTAGCAATACTTTTCTTTAGATTTTTCATCAGTTTTCCTCTGCTATTTGGCTTTGGCATTTGTTAAATGCAATCGGGGTTGCTATATCCGTGGCTGATATAGAACCGATTGCACGGAGAATGACTCTTCTGCTCACTGGGTTGCGATTGCGATTGCGAATTGCTGGCGAGGCTCTTCCACTTGCACCTTTGGCCAGAATGTGAGCCGGACTCGGTTGATTTTCCAATCCAGGCATTTCCCATGCCTGGCGGCGTCCAGCTCTCCGAATCTCTTCTTGAATCTCTCTTGAATCAACAGAAACCAGGTTGTTCGGCTTGCTTGTCCCGTCAATCTATCTGCTCATGATCTCATCGATGGTGAAGCCCAGCATTCGCTTGGGTTTCTCGGAGCTCGACGACGACGAGGATAGATCCAGAACGGGCAGGTGTTGTGCCAAGTTCTCAGGTTGAGGTGACCTCAATGCCTGGCTTGGCAGGGAATGCGACGGGGATGGGGAGGTTGGGGTCACCTCCTTTGTGCTCTGCTCACTGTGACTCTGCAGGTGACTCTTCAGGTTGGCCCGCTGGTTGAAGCTCCTCTGGCAGATGGGGCACTTGTGCGGACCCTCCTCCAGATGGGTCACCTTGTGCACGGCCAGGGTGCGCGACTGGCAAAAGCCCTTGCCGCAGTCGCTGCACTTGAAGGGCTTGTCCTTGGAGTGGATGTAGCGGTGGTCCCTCAGATGATCCTGCCGCCTGAAGGCCTTGCCGCAGATGTCGCACGAGTAGGGTCGCTCGTCCGTGTGTGTCCTTTCGTGGATGAGCAGGTTGTACGACTTGGTGAACTGCCGGTTGCAGTACTTGCAGATGAACTGCTTCTTGGGGCGACTGCTGCCGGTTGCCCCACTGGCAACACCACCTGCCCCACCGGCAACACCCAGCTTCAGAGTGGGCATGGGTCCGTAGTGGCGACCCACCACCGCGGCATGCAGATTGTGGAGGCTGGCGGGGTAGGGACGCACGTGATGTGGGTGGGGGTGCGAGTGCGAGTGCGGGTGGTGCGGATGGCCGTGATGGTGGTGCGGATGTTGCTGCTGCTGTTGTTGTTGCTGCTGCTGGTAGATGGCTGCATTGCGGATCCAGTGGCTCATCAACTGCTGATGCACTGCCACGGGATCGGCGGTGGCTGCGGGATAAACTGGATATTGCTGCGGTGCGGCATGTTGCTGTTGCATCTGCAACCACAGGCGATGTTGCTGCTGCTGTTGTTGCTGTTGCTGCTGCTGCTGTTGCTGCTGCTGGTAGTGGGCCATGTGCCGCATGTGCAATTGGGTGGCCACCGCCTCGTCGCTGATCGCCGGATGCACCCTCCGCAGGGGCTCCTCGGTGGGTGTGTGCGGGGGCGTCAGCATGGGGGAGAGACTCGTCTCGCGCTCCTCCTTGATCACTATGAAATCCTCTTCAGCAAAGTCTAAAAAGGAGAAGAGAAAATGGTGGATGGTTAGTCAATGGTTAAGATATTTATTTTAGGCAGTATAAACTCAGAATGCAGGCTGGCATGGTTTACTGATTACTTTAATCGGTTTAAAATTATAATAAATAATTTACTTTAAAATGTTCTTGTAGAGAATTTATATTAAAAATAAAACTTTTATATGATTGCTTATTCTTTTCTTTTTTTTTAAAGCTGATAATCCATTTAGCCGTCGGTATTTCCCTACTCCTAACTCGTTTTGAACTCGTTTTGAACCCACCTTGTTCTCTGCTTAAGTTGAGCTCGTCATCCACGGTTATGTTGCTGATGGGCGAGGCCGATGTGGAAGACATTATACTGTCTGTTTTGGCCCTTGTTGAATTATTTGGTATTGTTTTGATTGTTTTTGGGGAACTGCACGGTTCACTTTGGTTTAGCACTTGCGTATCTATATGTGGTTTGTATCTGCCAGATGAGCGTTCTGTTGGATGCGACGTGCCACCGACAACGTCTCGACACAAACTGAATTCGTTGGCCGTTCGCCGCTCTCCGACTCAAACAGTTGAAAATCGAATCGAAACGAAGCGAAACGAGTGGAGTGTGTGTGTTGTGTGTGTGTATTCCTATCTCTGTTCCTCCCTTTGAGTGACTTGTGTTGCTGCCGTGCTGTTGCTGTTGCTGTTGCTGCTGTCGCTGAGCGATGTTGCTGTTGGGAGTAGCGCTCGTTAATAACTGACTGCAACTGCCGGCGAGGCGACCCGTTTTTGAACCGACGGAGAAGTGCGGAGGAGGGTGGCAAACGTCGAGCGGCCCGACCAACGGCAGCTGCCTGTGGCGGGGTTGAAGTTATTTGGAAATGGTAGATACGTCCACGCCTACCTGCTGCTCTCGGATTGGCCCTCGCACCCAGTGTCTGTATCTCGTGGATGTGGATGTGGATGTGTCTCTGGCTCTTTCCGTTCGTGGCAGTAAGCAAGCGGAAACCGTTGGCCTGACGGTCGCAAGCCTGCGATATTGTTGGTGTTGCTGCTGCTGCTTCTGCTGATGTTGCTGCCGTAGTTGCTGCTGCTGTAGCAACTGCTGTTGCTGCTGCTGCTGCTGCCGCTTCTGCTGGCAGGCAGCCATCGCTCCAGAGCAGCCCGCATCCCAATCCCGAGACGCATCCCTCCCAGGCGCATGTGCCATCAGCAGGGCAGCTGCACGAAGGTCCTGCCATGTCCTTTCCACCTCCACCTCCACTCCCTCCCCCCCCGCCAGCCCTCGTCCTCGTGCCTTTTTAATGTCGTGCTGTCTGCGCCCCAGGATATTGTAATCTATTGTCCCTGTTTGTGTGTTGTGCCTGATTCGTTTTCACTTAAATTTTAATTTGCAATACAAATCAGTTTTTTTTTTATGCCCCCCACATTCTGGTTTACACTTTAATCTGGAATTCAATTAGCCGCTTCAAAGTGATGGCGATAAAAGTTTTGAGTGGGTGGAAAATGGCTGTTTGAAGCGAAAATTGATTGGTTTTTAAAAGGGTTTCCGGCAGGATATGCTGCACATATTTTACAGAAAATTAGGATAATATGGCTAATGTAATTTGTGCAGTAAATTAGAGGAATAGTTATGAATTGGAAAGGACTGAAATTTATGAAGAATTTTAAGGAATTCATAGTAAGTTATGTAGGGAAAATAATTGATTGGTTTTAAAAAGTTTTTTAGCTTGAGTCATTTAAAATAATATTAGCGTAAAACTACTTAAAGATTTTAACTTTAATATTTAAGTAAAATATATTGATTATTTTGTATATATAAACAGTTTTGCCATTGTTTTTGTTATTGTTTTTTATAACTGACAGCTTAGCAAAATATTCCTTACCGAAATTAAATGTTAGAAGTTTCTCGTTTCAATATTGCTCTGTTGTGAACTTTCACCATTTCTTACTGAAATGTGACTCAGGCTTGTCAAATCATCTTTAATGAGTACTCATTTGAAATGCTTCATGCAACTCATGTCGATAATTATTTAATAATCTGTAATTGAATCGAGGCAGGCAGGTGTACTTTATGGATGGTTTTCTTAAAGTCAACTAAAGGATTTGCAGAGTGATAGAAATGATTAAGAAAAAGAAACTGGTGTAAATAAAAGTGTATAATAAAATATACACAATCATTCCGTTAATAATTCATTAGTTAAGAAGTTTTCTTTATTGCATTTTATGCTTAATCAAATATTTTTATATTTCAGCATAAGAAAATTATCCTTTCTGTTGGTTTCGTTTTTAAATGCATACTTTTTCCTAATGGATTTTCCTCATTAATACATATTTTACCATTTCACATGCAATTCCAGCTTCCGAATTAAATCCGATTTTCTGCCTGGTTTTTCCGCACATTAAAAAATGTTTTATAATTTTCCCAAAGCAAGATGAATACAAATCCCATTATCCTGCTTCCGAATTCTGTACATTCCCATGACTTTGACTTGTCGACTTTGCTGGCGAAGCATTTCCGCAATGGATCTGCGGCTAATCCTTTAACTTGGCAAAACAAGAAACATTCCCATTGATTGGTTTTACCCGGATCGGGACTCAGAACTCAGGATGCAGGACTTCGGACTCAAAGGACCCATTGCGAAACACTCCGTCACAAGCGGTCCTTTGGAGGATTGACTTTGGGTGATTAAATTAAGAAATATTTACCCAATATTTAGCATAAACTTTCCCAAGCGGCAGAGAGTCGAAGATCAAACAGGCTGAATCAATAGGTCCTGCAGGATTTTCCCAGAGTGCGTGTGTCGGGATGGGATTCTGTGTGCTGGCCCCGGATTTTCGATCCGCTTAAACATCGGATGTGCCGTCGGTTTGTCAGACGCTGACAGCTTTAACCTCGGCGTTTGGCGTTTGGCAATTGTCGCCGCTGTTGACAGTTGACAAACAGGCGGCGAACTTTTCCATTTCAAAGCGACGGACTCGAACTCACCGCCCACCCTTTCCCTGCCTTTGGAGTCGCGAGCGGTAATTAACATCATGTCATAAGTGTACAAAGGCAAATAAATAAATAAATAGATAAACACAAGCGGAGTGGAGTGGAGTGGAGACACATGAAAGACCCGGGCCGAATATTTCCCAGCACATGATATATGGCATCGCACTGGCTGACTTCCTGCTATATCCATCCATTTGTTGTCGATACTAATATTATTACTATTATTGTTGTTGCTCTTGTCAACACATGGCCAAAAGGATTAGCTCTCCCGCGGGAAACACATGTCCCACAGTATTTGCATGTGAAAACCGAGGAAACGGAAACCGATGCGATGAGCAGGGAAGGAAAGATGGCCATAAAAAAATTGGGAAGACCTGGAAGTTCGGGCCAAGGACCTGCACCAATAAAGAAGTCATTGGCTCGGCCATAAAGCCATAAAAAACTATAAAACTCTCGGACTGCTCGACATTAGTAGCCTGTCATTGTTTCCGGGGTCCTCCTCGGCGAAAAAAAATATCGAAATACAAAAATGTAGAGCGTAAAAAATATAACAACGAGAGCAAAAAATCACAAAATCATCATAAACCGAAAATGACAACTTACTTAGTCGCTTCTTTGGCATCATAAAAACGCCCGAAGACACTTCGCAGAAGACCCTTGGTTTTTGACTCTGACTCTGACCCGGTTTTTAGCAATGTTCTTCTTTTTTTTGGCTTGCTCTCTTTGTCTGCTTTTTTTTTTGGACCATGCATATTTTATGGTATTTTTTCGTGTTTCCACGAATAAAATTAGATTTTTTAGAGCAGAAATGTCAGAGTCGCAGTCATAGGCAATAATTGTTAAATGACTTTTTAGTGGGCCATATGCCAGAGGTTTCGCTTTTCCACTAAAACCACTTTTTGTTAGGAGCGGAAAAAATATGGATAATAAAGAGGCATATTTTTTGGGAATCTTGATTTGATGACCTTCACTTGTAGGGAAATCTTAATTTTTTTCTACGGAATCGAACTTCTTGAAGCTACTGAAAGAAGTTATCCTAGATCTTTGTCTTTATTCGAAGAAGTACTCTTTGGAAGAAGAATTTTCCATGCCATCTTAAAAAAATATTTATCTTATATATATTTTGAGATATAATTGTTAATTATACAAACTATAATTATGTATTTTTTCTGTAACAGGCATTGAATAAATATGGTCTTAAATTCAAAATGTCCCTTTTAGATTTTCGTGGCTGGATCTTAAATGTAAAGATTTGAGGGCGCCATTTTTTATCGAATAAAAAACCATCTCTAGGAACAATTTAGTATAATTTTCCTTCACATGGGAGGGGTTAAAACGCAGCACAATTTTCCCAGGCTTTAAGTGAAGATGGAAGAGGGCCAAAAGCGTCGGTTCAAGGCTTCGTCGAAAAGCAATTTGCAATTTCATGGCAAAAACAGACCAAGTATGTGTATAGTAACTGCGATGAGGTGAAGGAAAAAACAATTTCAGTTATTGGAAATGCTTCCAACGAACTGGGCAACAACCACCAATTCGCAGCCTCGATTTCCCTAGCAAAACGCCAAAAAGTCGCTTAAATTGATCCACAGCAGTCCTTGGGATTCGCATGATAATTAGGTAAATATATATATGGCATCGGGACGAAGGGATGTGCAGAAGTCAAGGCTGCCGAAGGACGGGTGCATGCGGCATTGTTGCGATTTGAATTGCTTGCGAAAAGTATCTAAACACACCATAAACGCGTCACGCCCGCGACTCCGCGAATCGTAAACCCAAGGACACTGCGGCCAAAACCAAAACTCTCTACTGGGCGAAAAGGGGTGTACCCTTTACTAGCGTAATTAAAGGGGTGTGGACGGGTAGGTGCCCAGGTAGCCGATTCCGTCTTGGGATTGTCGGTAGGGGTAGGGGTCGTAAAACCGGGTTCTTGGTCCCAGAATTCTAACCCTAAACGTTACCCTGAACTGGACTTTGGCTTCGCTGCCATTGTCTTCGCATTGCGGTGGGCGCGACGCACTTTTACTCCTTCCAAAGGACGACGAAGGATGCATATACGCACGACCATCGTACCTGGAAGCCCATGGCGCGAACAAAAGGAGTAGCCCAAGGATTAGAGAACTTGGACGGGCATCTTGGGAGGGATGGGTGTCTGTGTGGCCTTGTCGACTGAACTTGGGTGTGGCGAATCCAGGAAGGGTTAGTCCGCAGAAGGGTTGCACTTTATTTGGCAAAATAATTAGATTGATCCTGAGGGCAGATGACTTCTCTGGTCATATTAGTGCAGTGCTAGGCAACTCCCCCACAACAAACCTGCGATTTCCTGTAGCGAATCCAAAGGGTTTACGGTTGAGCTCGGTTTTGGGTGAGCAACTCCCCGAAAGGATTGCACTGTATTTGCCAAAATAATTAGATTAATCCTTTGACGAGGAGGGTAAGCTTGGCTAAGGGAAAAGGGTGCAGGTTATGATTGACTGAAAAGTGCTAAAAGAAGTCTAAAGGTGACGAGGAAAAACGATTCATAACTTTTATGAAATCACTTAAATGCTTTTAGACATTGCATTTCATATTTTAGAACCTACGAAATATGTTTTTTTCTATTTTATTGTCAGCTAAGAATTGAAATAAGATTACAAGAAGATTGCTTAAAGTCTTGTTCATATAGGATCCCGAAATGTTTTTTATTATTGAATGCATTTTTAATATATGTTAGATATTAAAGGATATCTGAATAAATAGTATATTAATAAATACTTTTTATTAACATACTTAA